TGTACGAACATTATCTATTCAATAAAGCTAGTCCAGTTTCAGTGATTTTCAGACTTGTCCGAACAAGTTTGTGTACATTAGGGTTTACATTTTGGATTATCAGGAGAGTGGATGCTCCTGTATTTGTGAAACCTGAACATTTCAAGTTTCATAATGTTATAGTCCGACTTCCGGAATAAAAATATTTTCTGTCAAAATATTCAGGACTATAAATAGATTTCTGAATTTAATTAATTCATTATTCACAATTCCAACTAGAGAAAAGCCAATTCTCTCTGACGGATCTTCGGGTTTTCATCCCGATTGTGAGTCTACTTTCCTAAATGTGTTTCAATACTTGTTATATGCTTTATAACATCAATTACATGTCTAAACTGCAAGATCCGGAGTTTACCGCCCAAGAACGTTCTGGGGAGTAAACTCCAAAACGAAGCCTAAAGGCTACCTAGTCCCATTTTCTTGTTAAGCAACTAGTTAAGGACTTAGTGTATGATCATTAGAGGCTAGAAATCATTCAAGAAACACAAGTAATAGGAGTTTACGGCCAAGGACATTTCTTGGGCCGTAAACCCCTTTTTAAGGGCTATAAGTGCCCTAAACCACCCCTTAAGCCTAAGGACAATTACCCTCTAAGGCTTCTAGCTATTTTGGACTTCAAAACACTTCAAAATCATAGATTTATAGGAGTTTACGGCCAAGAACATCTCTTGGGCTGTAAACCCCTTTTCTAAGGGTAAAATGCACCCTAAACACCCCTAAGGCTTTAAGACAATTACCCTTGAACACATAGGACTTGAATGGGGAGTAAAAGACATCAAAACCATCCCTTAAAGGGAGTTTACGGCCAAGAAACATTACTTGGGCCGTAAACTCCAAGTGAAGGCACAAATGTGTGCCTCTTGTCCCCTTTAGCCTTAGATAAAAACATGGAAGCTATCCTACATGTGCAAGTGCCTCAAATCAATTAAAACCAACACCCCATAGGAGTTTACGGCCGTAAAC